AAAAAAAAAAAAAAAAAGGCCATTCAAACATATTTAGAGAAGACACACGACCTTGCAATAAAGTCCAGCTCGTTTTCAGAGCAACAACCCGGGCAGTTCCCCCTCGAGCGCTGTCCTGCTGAGGCACCTCTTCTCCTAAACCCACCGCAGGTTGCGAGACGTTACAGAAATACCACGGAAGCCATTAGCTACTGATTGGAAAAGTCTTTTTTTTTTTTTTAATTATTGCAGAAGGCAGAGCTGGTGGGTAGGAAGGGCACCGCCGCAGCGTCCCACCCGGCTCGGCTGAACCTCCAAGCGTGCCCTTGGCTTAGTTCAGGGCTCTGCCAAAAAAAACCCAACCATTTCTCCAAGGGGATGCTCTCAGCTGAGCAGGAACTCCCAGGAAGGACTGAGCTCCACAAAGTCATGCCACCAGGCTTTCCACGCCAGCATTTGCTACGTTGAGACCTACATCTCACCAGCAAGGAGGCAAACCCCACCACTAATAGCCTGCACTTGGCATTTTTATATTTTTTTTTAAAAAAAAAAACAACCTGATGGCTTTTGAGCTGCTGGGGAAAACGTAGCGTTAAGTATTTCGCCTCTAAAACGGGTCACTCTCCCAAAAAAACAGGGTTTAATGCACGTGGCTTCTGTGGCATCAAAAATAAATATTTTAAATTTTTTTTTTTTTTTTTTCTTTTTCCTCTCTCGACAGCAAGTACCAAAGTGTTGGAAGGTGAAGACAAAAGCCAAGGAAAAACCCCAAGGAAAGCGGGAACGGAGCCACCCTGAACTGATGGGACCAGCCCACTCACACTCAGCGCACACACACGTCGTGACCTGCCTTGGGAACTCAAATCCCTGGCAAGAAGAGAAATACTACTTGGCTACAACATTTGTTTCCTAACAAAACAAAAGAAAAAAACCCAAAACAACCCTTACTCCCCCCCCTCCAAAAAAAAAAAAATCCCCCTCCTAGAGGAACGTGCTGCCTGGTACGGAGTGATCCCCAACAGGTCACTTCTCCATCCCCATGCCCACCTCTCCTCTCCCCAGGGGGGAGGGAGAAACAGCCTCCTTTGAAAGGTACAAGAACAAACTGTAAAAACGCAGCACTGATGCTGAGAAATAAGCAGAACACCACTTTTTTTTTTTTTTTT